CATGCTCCCCTCCCGTACCTTGGCTCCCCCTCCCCCCCCCCCGCGTCTTCCCCCGTCGTTGGAGGTCCCCCCCCCCCCCCCCCCCGGCCCCCTGGCCCCCTGGCCCCCGGCCGATGGTCGTGGGTCAGGAGGCGTGGTGGCGAGCAGCCCACTCAGGGGGGCGGTGGGGGAGGCCGATGCGCGAGGGCCGCATCGTCGAGGGCCTTGTGCATGTGAAGCCGCGGCCCGGTGAAGTAGAAAACCAGCCGAGTGAGCAGGGGCCGGGGGATGTCGGCCGCCGGGAAGGCCCCGGTGACATGGAGCAATGCTCCATGCAGGGCCTCGCGCGTGACGACCGGCCCGCCAGCAGGGTCCGGGACCGGGCATCGGTGCCCGAATAGCACGCACACCGGGGCCGGGCCGCTTGACGGCCAGCAGATCTCGGGACCCGGGGTGGCTTCAACCATGGCGGGGGCTGCCAGAAGCGCGGCCACCAGCAGCGGGGCCACCACCGTGCCGGTATCACACGAAATGACGGCCCGCAGGCCGGGGCTGGTGCCAGCGTCGACGGCCAGTGCTGGCCCAACCACCCGCAAGCACTGGTCAATGGCGAACAAGAGCCGATCTCGAAGCATCTTCCCCCCGCGGCGATCACAGCAGATGACCACCACCCGGCCGGCCGGCGGCGTGGCACCTACTCGCGCCAGGGCCGCGGCCAGGGCCCGGCCCACTGGCGCACTATCCCGGCCGGAGTCTTGCCCCGGTGGAGCGGAGCCCTGCAGGTCACCAAGGCAAAATCCACATGGGCAGCCATTGCCCAGAAGCCGAAGTAACTCGGCCTGTGCGCCGGGAATAAAGCGCAAGTCCATCGTGTTGCCCGGCAGAGCCGTCAAGATGTCCGAGTCGAAGAAGCCACACCGGGCCAGCCAGGTGGCAGTGAGGGGCAGGCCTCCGGCACCGGGGGCCGGCAGCGGGCCAGCACTCTGGACCTCCAGCCGAGTGAGGATGGCCAGCGCCGTTGCGGCCGCGCAGCCAATCGCCCCTCGGGCCGGAGCAGACAGCAGCACAGCTGCCGGGTCATGGCTGGTTACTGAAAAGTGAATGTCGCCCAGCGGGGGTTCGATCCCGGGCGAGGCCTGGCGATCGGCCAGACAGGTGCGCACCCGGCGGTCGGACGTGCCGGCCGCCGGATCCCCGGCGGTCAGATACTCGGCTGGGCCGATGGTCACACCGGCCAGCAGGGTGTCCAAGGGGGTTAGGATGGGACCCGAAGGAGCCGCACACCGGGAGCGGCCTTCGGTCAAGACATCCGCAGGGGCAGCCGCAGCATCACCATCACCATCACCAGACCCGGGCCCGAGCGTCGTGGCAGGCTCCAAGCCGGCCAATGTGGCTGGCACACGGCGCGCCAGCTCCAACTGCCGAGCCAGGCGAAGGCATCCGCCCGGCCCGGCGGCCAGCAGCTCGAGACGGTGCGCCCACCAGAGCTCCGGGGTGAAGAAGTCCGACCAAAGCTCGTGGTCGTCTCCGGCCCCGCGGACATGGTCATACGCCAGGCCTGGCCCGTCTAGCAGCAGGGCAGCCACAGCTGCGTCCTCTGGATCCAGCGCCTCGGGCCCCGGGGCCAAGTGCCGGGCCAGCGCCTCGGTGGCCGGGCGCTCGGACCCCGACGCCCCGAGACACCAGAGGGTCCAGTAAGCGTCCGCGGGGTGGGGGCCCCCGGCGGCCAGGGCCTCGGAAAAGTGCCCCGGGGCATCGAGCCAGGTCGACACCAACGGGCGTCTGGCCAGCGCCCGGAGGATGCGCTGAAGCGGGTCCTCCAGCCCGACCAGCGCCCGGGCGCTGCCAATCAGCCGTCGGGACACCGCCGGCACGGCCCGGCGCATGAGATCCCGCTCGGTGGGCTCGATGGAGGGATGCGTGTGCAGCTCGGCCAGCGGGTGGCTGGCGTAGTCCCATGCCAATGGGCCCGGCTGGGGGGACTGGCCACCGGGCAGATCCGGCAGACACTCGCAGGTCGGTGGCCCGTCGGGGCAGCCCGATGCCGGACACTCGCCCCGGCAACCGAGACCCAGCAGCATCGCGGTGCGGTTCATGACCGCACACCAAAAGGGCACCGTCTTGGCCAGGGCATCGCTGGTGACCTTGCGCGCGCTCGCCGTCGCGTCCACCAACAAACACCCACCCAGCGGCCCGGCGGCCAGGTCCAGCACACCGAGGTTTGCCCTGCGCGGGGACACCGTCCACTGGCCATGGTGACCGTCCTTCGACTGGAAGTAAGCCACTGGCAGGGGTGCCGACGCCCCGGAGTCCGGCCCTCGAGGACGGGCATACCACCCGCCACATCGCATGTTCGGCAAAGTCACAAAGCCCGATCCGGCGGCGTTGCCAAGGACCCGTGCCAGCTCTCGCCGCTGGCACTCAACATACAGGGCGTCGGCCGCGATCGAGCACAGCCGATTCCAGAAATCCAACGCACGCGGTTCGCTCATGGTCCCACCTTTGCCCTCACACATGCACGGGCAGGCGGCCGCTTCCCTTCGGTCGACCTCTCGCGCTCGGTATACCTCTCTCGTTCTTGGGCAACGCCGTCGGCGGGAACCCGCAGAAGGCAAAAATGGAGGTGCTGTCGAGGAGAAAGAGGGTGGAGGGGGCTTGGTTGGGAGCGGGAAAGTGGGGAAAGTGATGCAGGGAGGGGGGGGGAGAGAGAGAGAGAGAGAGAGAGAGAGAGAGAGAGAGAGAGAGAGAGAGAGAGAGAGATCTACTTGGCCACGTCCGCGCGGCAATCTTCCCCGCACATGGGGCCAGAAAAGGGACTCCCAGAGAAGATGCCATGTCATGTGATCCAGTATGTTGTGGGGAAATGGGCACACTGGTGTATTTGTGACCCCAGCACGGTCTGCCGTATGTACCAGGACCGGGGGGATATGCGTCTGTCGCGGGGGGGGGGGGGGGGGGGACTGCGCGTGCGTTGTCTCCCAACTTTGGCCTCCCCTGCAGGTGCGGGCCTGTCTCCATCACTGGAAGCTGGCAGAGGCGTAGCTGACGCTGTGGTCTTGGCGCGGATCGGCTGACGGCCGGCCGAGCACCGACGATTGGGCGTACGCATGGAATTGCAATGTGCCACGGTCGAAGTGATTCTTGGAACAGGTATCTGCCGGCCCGTGCTGGTGGCATCCGGCCTCGGGGCGAAGCGCTCCCATGGCCTCCAGGAAGAGACGGATAGGCTGGATTCCGCAGACAGTGTTGTCGCGCGACTCCATCAGTTGCTCCAGGCGCTCGGTGTCTGCCTGGCTAATGGCCTTGTGGTGTGTGGCCACGGGCATGTATCGAGGCCGTGGCGGCAGGTTAGTGGCCGGCTACTGGACGAGAAGCGTCGATTGCAGAGCGCAGTGCTTTGGATTGGGAGAGGGGGGAGGGGAGGGATGGGGGGGAACGGGGGCCTTGAGAAGCGTGGAAAAGGTGTGCGATGGTCGCACCTCCATGTACTCGAAGTCCAAGGCCTTGATCTGGGTCCAGATGGGCTCCTTCGCGCGGGACCCCGAAAAGGGCGTGAACCTGCCGCCAAAGAAGCGAGGGGGCGGGTGAGCGAGAGGGGAAGGGAGGGAGAGAGAGAGAGGGCGTGCGTGCGCGCGCGCAAGCGGAGGGGGGAAGCGAGGCAGGTGAGTGTCAAGGTGGCGGCTGGGAAAAAAAACAGATTGCCCAATATGCAGCAGATGCAAATGCAAATGCAGCGTGGATGCCCGTGCGCGGGTGCAATCGAAAAGGGCGAGGAAGGCCCAGCGGCAACGCGGCAGAGCGCACCGGAAAGACCGCCCGTAGTGGCAAAAGTCCGAGGACACCACACACAGGGTACCGGGGTCGCGAAGAAGCGCCGCCACAGTCGGCCGGTCGCCGGGCTGCATGCGCGACCCGACCATCAGCGGGACAATGGGAATATCGGCTGCCGGCTGGCCGTCAAGGTCCGACGAGGGGCTCATGCGCTCGCGAAGCATATAGCCGATCATGGTCATTGGCAGCTCGAGGCTGTGCTCTCCGGCACACTCGCCAGGGCGCAGGTTCTCCATGCGCCGGGCCAAGTCCTCGGGGATCACTTTAATCCAGAGGGTCAGCGGAGAAAGGTGGCGAGCACGTTTGTGTGCGTGTGTGCGTGTATGTTTGTGTATGTGTGTGTGTGTGCGTGGAGGGCGGAGGGGGGGGGGGGGGGGGGGGGGGGGGGGGGGGGGGGGGGGCAAGCAGGACGAGACAGGGGTCGCCACGTACTGGAGTAGTCAATCGGAAAGGCACCGAAGGGGGTGGCGAAGTGGCTGAAGGGCGAGCGGCCGAGGCCGTCGAACGGCGCCATGTGGCTCGGCCCCAGCACCACGATCCGCTTACTGTATGGACAGCGGCCCCGTCGCCGGAGGGAGATGGGATAGAGACGGACAGAAGCAGACAGTGAATAGAGTTAGCCCTAGTCGATGGAATACATCTCCGAGCGGCAACAAAGGCGAAGAGAGAATAAGAGGGAGAGGGGGGGGGGGGGGGGTAGTCGCACACGGCCGAGGGATCGATTCGACGAAGGGCAAAGGCAGCGGTTGGGAGACAATGCATCAGCCCTGCGTGACTTTGGTGACAAGTGTGCAGGCGTACAGGGTTGAGAGCGTGTGAGTGAGAGAGTGTGTGAGTGTGTGGGTGTGTGGATGTGGGTGGGCACGCGCGCAGAGGAAAACAGGAAAGGAGTGACGGCGGGCGGAGAGGGGGAAGGCCAAGTGACCGGAATTCAGTCATTGGCAAGAGCTCGGCCATTGGCGGGGCCGCGCGGGCCGACGACGCACGGGAGAAGCACGGCCTGGAAGCAGGGGCAGCTGCCTGATGGGAGGGAGCACCGGGGGCAGGGGATCGGATCGGCGGCCTCTGGCGCATCCAGCAACAGCGGCTCGTGCGAGGCAGGCATGGCAGTGGCCGGGTCGCGTGGGGCGCGGATCTCACGTTCGGCCGAGGCCATGGCCGCGGCGAAGAGCCGGGTCAGTGAGGCCAAATCAGCGGGATACCAGGTGCCGGACTTCGGCATTGGCCGGACATTAATAGGGGACATGGTTGAGAGGGGTCCAGGCCACAGAGGAGGGAGCGTCGCAGAAAGGGGCGGAGGAAGAAAGAGGCAACCGATTTCGGGTGGGGGGGGGGGAGGGAGGGCAAGCCACTCCCGACATGGCGGCATCAACCAGGTCCCTGTTGAGGCGATCTGGTCCTATCATTCCTCCTGTCCCGCCGAAAGGGCAGTACGGCGGGGGACCAGGAGGGGGGGTCAGACACTCACGCACCACCGATAACCGGCGCCCACCCGGGGCCAGAAAAATGATCGGAGGGTGAGTCGGAGCGGACTGTAACATGGCCATCACGGGTTACGCTCCGTTCAGGTGATTGGCTCTTGGCTTCCGCTATCCGTGCGAACCCTGTTAGCTCGACAGGCTACATGCGACCCCAGTACATCTGCTGACGATCCGCATGACACCGGAAGTGTTTAATTTGTGCCGCTTACGCCTCTTTCCCCAACCCACTGTAACATTAATTCACATGCCGGTCCCTTCCTCCTCCCCCTCACCACGCCGGCTCCTGTTCTTCGTAACCATCCGCTCTCCTCATTTCGCCCAGAGGTCACATCATCGGGGGCCCAACAAGTAGCCCCTCGCGGGAGACGCCCCCGACTCGAGACGCTAATTTGTGCGGAGAGGGAGGAGGTCTATTTCACAAGGACAGAGGACACCCGTGAGGGAGGAAGGGAGGGAGAAGGAGAGGGATGAAATGGAGGGGAGAGGATGAGGGCGGGGGGGACAATAAAAATACATGCACAGACATATGAATGGGCGGAGGGGAAAACAGCTCGAGTCACAAGCACGGCTCTGCCTAGAAGCTCGATGGAGGGGCGTCCTCATCGTCGGACTCGGCACCAGCCGCCGCCGTCGCTGGCCCCGGGGTCGTCGGATGCACGCGGCTTCCCGCGATGCCGAGGGACGTTGCGGCCATTGTTGGAATGTGACTGCCGCCGGAGTCCAGATCGTCAAGCCCATCGGAACCGCTGCCACCACCGCCACCTATGCCCCCGGGAAGGGCGTTACAGGCAAAGTAATACTGATCCAGGAGGGCCATAATAGGCTGGCCATGTCCCGGGTGGAGACTCCCCTGCTGGGGAATTGGCAGAGGCTCTCGGGCCGAGGAAAGCCCGGTACACGGGCGGCTGCTTTGGAAAAGCGGCCCGGTGACGCTGGATGCCCGGCCTCCAAGGGCACGGATGGACTGTGGTCGGCTACCGGGGAGGATTAGGGGCTCAAGTGGCTCATCCAACAACAGGCTAGCCGCATCGGCGCGCGTCAGACTTCCGGGCAGGGTGGTCGCCAGGGGGGCTGCTGTTGATGGAGGCTGCGTGCCATGCCGCCAGCCACCGGCTGGCGACTGGCCGGGCTGGCCTGGCTGGCCTGGCTGGCCTGGCTGGCCGGGCTGACTCCGATCCACCCCCCAGGGATCCGACACAAAGCCGCCACTGCCATCTGTGTCGGCATTCCACTGGCGATAGGGAACCTCCTGAGAGAGGGCCGTGACACCGGTCAGCGCGGCCGACGAGTCCGAGCCTCCGGAGGGGGACACTCCAGCCAACAAGGGAGCCGATCCCGTGCCGGTGGCTACCTCCGCCGGCAATCCCATCGCGAGCTGACCATCATCGTTTGGGGAATGCGCCCCGAAGGGATCAAGCGATGAATGCATGTGCTGCTGCTGCGGCGGCGGCGGCGGCGGCTGTTGCTCTTGCTGCGGGTTGTGAAGATAGTGGTGTTGGTGATGGTGGTGATTGCGCTTGCCCGGCAGGCGAACTGAGTCGAAGCCAACTGCCGTCATCAGCGCCGGATAATGGTCGCTCAGGGCTCGCCACTGGGCCAGGGGCGACTCCGTGCCAATTGGATCGGCCCGTGCCGGGGAGACGCCGTCACTTCCGGCGCCAAGGTCGCCTGTTGTGGCGGCTGGCGTAGTTGGGAAGCGTGACTCCCCGGCACTCGGCGCATCGGTGCCAATGGCCGAGGAAGCTCCGGTGTTGGGGGACGGCCCTGTCGAGATACCGGCCGCTTTGGCTGGAGGAATGCTGCTTCCCCCGGCAGACCCAAAAATCTGGAGGAAACGCTCTGTCCCTCGTGGCGGTCGCCATCCGGGGTGATTTTTCTGCAGATGCCCGTCAAAGCGGATTCCGAGTCCGGGGGAGTGGTGGGGAGGAAAGGCGGGAAAATAGATGTGGAGATAGATGCATGGACGGATGGATGAAGAGAGAAGGGGGACACGTATGTGAACACAGGTATACACATGTGTGAGTGAGCGAGACGGCAAGCATGCTGGGTGTGTGCGTGTGTGTGTGTGTGTGTGTGTGTGTGTGTGTGTGGTGTCGTGTCGTGTCGTGTCGTGTCGTGTCGTGTCGTGTCGAGCCTGTACATACCACAAAAGTCAGCAATGATCGGTCGACCTTCGATCGGAGGGACATGGGAGGGTCGATCTTTTGCCGCCACTCGGCCGCCACGCGGCTCTCCTCGGTCCCGGGCTCTGGGGGAACCGAGCCGAAACGAACAATGTCCAGAGTGGCCGGAGCGAAGATGAACCCCATGCGCGAATCATACTCCGAGTACTGCTTCATGTAGCTGATGATGTGGTCACTCGAGTGGGGGAGTTCGAAAAAGAGGACCACCGGTACCACGAGCAGACCGATCAACTCCCAGGCGATGTCCAGAGCACGAAGCTGATACAAGTCGAGAAGGCATCACGAACCTGGAGGCGCGAGAGGGGGGGAAAGAGGGAAGAACGGGGGGGGGGGGGGGGGGGAGAGAGACGGCCGAAGAGAGGATTAGCCAAGCTTCGGGCAAGGAAATGCAGAAGTGCCCAGGAAGACCAGTGGCCGACGGACCTCCACTGTGTGCAGACGCCCGCGCCAGCTCCGGGGAAAGTAATGCGTATGCTCGATGACCAGGGCCATGGCCCGCGCAGGGTCAGTGGCCCGTGGGCCGGCATCCTCCCCGGCCAGGGTGCTGATGCCGAGGCCGCTGAAGCCGATCCCCTCGAAGGAGTCGCCCCCGCGGCTGGACGACCGTGTTTGAGTGGCCAACTGCCGCCGGGCCCAGGCATACGCGACCGAGGCCATACCAGTGTACCAGAGGACCGTGCGGCCGGGGCTGACTTCCAACTTAAGAACCGCATCACCACCAAGCAGCGACAGAGCCAGCAAGGTAATGGCCACCGATCCGGTAATGAGGGTGACAAAGCTAGTTGCCCGAGGAGCGCGGGGAGGGGAGAAGAAGGCAGGTTAGCCGGGGGTGCATTACTGGGGGGAGAGAGAGAGAGAGGGGGGGGGGGAGGGAGAGAGGTCCCAGGCGGAAATGGAATGTGGCTATGTCCCACAGTTTGCCCATGTATGCCCCTGTGACTGTGCGCATGCACACAGGCATATAAGCGTACCGGAGAATGAAGCTCCCATATGGGGTGGGGAACTGCGACAAGTAGCTTTCAGCCAGAGGGATGGCACTGTCCAGCCGCCGCGAGAAGAGATGCCCATACTCGTTGAACTCCCGCAGAGCCAGGCGCGAGCGGGCGGTGAAGTCCCGCGAGCCAAACAAGTGGGGGTTGGAGTAGATGTGCTACATGTCGGAGAAGAGGGCCACCGTGCGATGAGGACGAGGAGCAGGAGGAGATATTGAGAATGGAATCAGATTTGGGGAAAAGGAGCGACTAAGGCGAGAGGGGGGGGGGCGGGGGGGATGGGATGGAGGAAAGAGGAACGCCAAAAGCAGGAGGCAACGTACTTGGCCATAGAGGAAGAGCCAGGTGGCAAGGAGGAAAAACAGGGCAATCGGCGAGATGAGGAAGAGGAGGACGCCGGCCGACCGGAACCACAAGGCCAAACTGCCGCACGAACGGGCCACGCAGAGGGGGCAGCCAGACCCGGGGAGGGTCAATTTATACTCCATTGATCGGGATTATGCGTGGGAAAGGACACGAGGCTGGAAGAAAGAAAGGCCCGAGCACATGGGGACCAGGAGGCGCACCGTTTTGACACCCGCGCATGGTACAACGGCTCAAAGACCTCGCCGCGCACCTGCCGCGATCGGGGCTCAAAGAGAACGAAGGCCAGCAGGGACTCCAAAATGAAATACATGTACCGGCTGCCTCGTGTGGCGCGCAGGACAAAGCCCCCGCGATTGGGGACCAGCAGGCCCCCATGGCGGCCGAGACCGCCGTGCGCCAGGATCCCCAGGAGGTAATTGTCCCGCCGGAGGATGCGGTTGGTCACCACGAAGGCGTCGAGCGGTCGGAAACAGGGAGACTGCCCGGCCTCGATGCCAGGCTCCCCAACTCCAGAGGGGTTCCCTGGCAGGGGATGGCCTGCATCGGTGCCGGGTGCCGCGTACACCGAATGCCGCGCGGTCTGAGGGCCGCCCTCCAGATCTGTCTGGTCGCAGGCCTGAAGCAGGGGGGTCCCACGAGTGGATGGCGGCTCAATTGGAATGGCACCACTGTCCCTGGCCTCGGGAACCGGCCAGTCCCCGGCTCCTTGGGGTACGCCAGATCGCCGGGCGCGCTCGGCCGGGGACGGCTGTGCCGCAAGGAGACGCTCCAACACATCGTCCCATTCGACGGCGCGGAGGTCGGTCTCGCGCAAGCCAAGGATGACATCATAGTAGCGACTCATACGCCGGAGGTCGCCAAACTGCCGGACAAATGAGGCAATCACAGCCAAGAGCAGCAGGAAGCACGCGGCCAAGAGCAGGGCATAAGGGACGTGCATGCTGCACGAGGACAAGTAGATGGATGGGTGGATAGGTGGAGGAACGGACAGGTGGAGGGACAGACAGGTGGAGGGGCGTCAGAAGGGGGGGGGGGGGGGGGGGGGGAGAGAGAGAGATGAAAGGGAGCCATGGAACGGCTCCCACAGGGACGATGACCGAGGGAGGGATAGGCTGATGACACGCACTTCCGAATGTTGGAAAACTGAATGGCCTCTGACAGGTATTGGATCTTGCCACTGAACAGGTCGCGATAGTTCACGCAGTAGAGCAAGAAGGTGGAGAAGCAGGTTGTGAAGATGAAGAGACTGTTTGAGGTTTTCCACAACGCGAGGTGAAGAAGGTTAGGCAGGCCAGGATCCGGCGGGTGCGATACAGAACTGCACCAGCGAGAGGGGGCAACGCACAAGACGACATAGAGGAAGTTGAAGGTGATCGACTGGATGCCATGACCGCAGTAATAATCATACACCTGCGGGGCAGCAGGAGAGGTGCGCAGTCCAGGGCGAGGGAGGATGAGAGAGAGAGGGGGGAGGGGGAGAGGGACATAGGGTGGAGGCACAGGTGAGCGCGAGGAGAGGCGAGGAGAGGCGAGGAGAGGCGAGGAGAGGAGGCGGAGAGGAGGCGGAGAGGGCAAACGATCAAGGGCCGACAACGGGCAGCGCAATCGAACCTGGATGAGGAAGGCATCAAGGTCATCGTCGGAGGGCCAAAGGTCGGCTTGGTCGCGCTCCTGTTGGGCCTTGAAAGCGGCCACGGCCTCAGCCTCCTGGGCCGACAGACCGGCCGATTGTCGGGTGAATTCTCGCAGAAAGGCAACAAGGAAGTTGCTGTCCGTCCCGGCACCCGACACGGGAGGAGGCTCATGCCCGAGGCCATCTTGCACCGTGGTAGATGCCGGAGACAGGGAGGTGACTCGATCAGCGGGCTCGGCGTAGGGACGGGTGGAGGTGGAGAAGCGCCCGGAGAAGGGATTCAGCATGTCTGAGGGCATGAGCCCAGGACCCCCCCTGGTGCCATTCCGGGATTTGGATGGGGCCGCTGTGCCGAATAGCCTCGAGGACAGGCCCTTTGAGCCGCCACGCCCCGGTCGCCGGGAGGAAATCAGTGGCCGGTCCTCCTCGGAGAGGGAATCCCCCCGGGTGCCCGAGTCGGACCCCCGCTGCGCCATGGGATACATTTCATAGGGAATGTCCGAGTGCAAGTCCCCGGCACCATGGTCGCCCAGTTGGAGGGCCGATAGCATGGATGCCGGGAAGAAGCTGTCCCCGGCATGGGTGGCACGCGGTGATGATGGCGCAAATCCCCGGGGAGGGAGGTGGCCATCGCCAACGGTGGTTGACCCGCCGCCCGAGTGCATGCGCACCGGAGTGGCTGCCCGGCCAGACCCATGTGAGGCGGCCACCTCGGCCGGAGTCAGGGACGGCGGCGGCGGGTCGTCCTCGTCGTCCTCATCAACGCCACCGAGATCATTGCCGGAGGTCGCAGCAGTAGCATTCGTAGCGGGGGGCTGGGTGCCGGCTTGTGGCTGCCCGGCGCCGGTGCCATCATGCATGCCATTGGCGCTGCTGTCGCTGCCCGCCAATGCAGGCCCCGCGTGGTGATCGTGCAGAAGCCCGGGCAGGGAGCGTGAGGCATCGGCCAAGTCACTTGGGCGTGACTGCGATCGCGGACGAGAGCTCACCGGGAAAGGGGTCGCATAGTGGTGGTGGTGCCCATTGGGGTGCGGGGAGTGCAAGCGACCGGAGTTGGAAGGACCTTGCCCGGTCGAGTTGGCGACCAGGGGACCCTGGCTGTTGGTGGGTGAATTGGATCCCAGCGGAATGCCTGAGGGCAGCCACAGGCCTGGCGGCGAGGAGGGAGGCCGACCATTGGCCAAGTCGGGGGGTAGGGGCGAACTCCGGGGACTATCGCGCCTTGCCGGGCCGTCACCCTCCATGGTAGGCGGCCTCGGGGTCCCAGGGACGGCTTGGTCCAGTGCGCCGGGAGGGGGCAGCTCCACCTGGCCGAGAAAAGAGGGGGAGAAAGGAAGGGAGGGGAGGGGCAGCGAGGGGGAAGGGGGCAGAGAGAGAGAGATGGGCAGATGTGGGAGGGACGACCGACGGGAGCAAGTAAAGAGATAGAGGGGGAAGGGGGAGGAGGAGAGGTGAAGGGGAGAAGGGAAGATGTGTGAGGTTGGATGCCGGAGGAAAGGTGATCTGGCCAACACCATACATCCCTTTCGGGGCATTCCCTGGCGGAGGGCGGCCACGGCGAATTGCGGTATTTCCCACCTGTCTGCCCCGGCGCCCCCCCGCCCGATCCGGGTCAACAACCTGCAAGGGGTGCCACCATCGAAAAGCACCCAAAACAACCAGTCTTGCTGGAAGTGTTTTGATACGAGCCCGAGTGTGGAGGGGCCCTTGGCACACCTTCACCCAGGGGGATCCCCATTTGTTGGGGGCGGGGCTCGGCCCTCCCCATGCCCGATCGCGCCGGAGGAGCACTCGCGCGCAACACGGGTGTACATATATTTTTATAAAAAAAAGTCTATTGATGCACTTGCATCCGAGGCATCGAGCTATTCCTGATAGAGCAAGTAGCCATGCTCCTGAGTCCGCGGGCGGGGGGGTGGGGGTAGGCGGGATCGAGCTTCCCCCCCCCTCCCAGCCTCGATCGACCACCACACCGCCCCGAGGGGCGTGGAAAGGCGGGCCAAGACACACCCGGACGTTCCAGATTAGAAAACCTGCGAACGGAAAAATCAATTAACCAGCATTCCCCGCGGTTTCTCCCCCATCACGCTTGCCCTGAAGCGCGGCTGCCTGGCGCGGGGGGACAGGATCGAGGGGGGGGGGGACGGCGGGGGAGGGGGAACGAGCGACACGCAGCCGATCGAGTTCGGGCGGCATGAAAGGCACAAATCGTGGACCCTGTGCCGGGTGCCGAACAGGCCCGCGCGCCTGCAGGGCGCTCGTCGCCGTGTCTGGGCCGCGCAGACGCTCCGGGGCAATGGCCCTACAGGTACTGTCCACATGCCGGAGAGGGCTGACCACCGGAGGCGCGCGTCCCCCGGGGCAAATAGCCAGGCCCCGGGGGGAGCCGCAGCCAAAATTCACCGCCGGGCCGCCTTGGCCGCAAAAATTGGCCCAATTTCCCGATGGAGGACCGCCAGCCGCCCCGGCCCCTCCCCCCCGTGCAGCCCCGGGGAAGAAGGGCGGGACAAGGCACATTTTCGCCACGCCATCGTGTCTGCTTGCCTCCCCCCCCCCCCACCGCCCGAATCCTGCCGGGGTCCGCCTGATCGCGCATGGCGGCTACTTCCATACCCGGATCCTTCAACACGTACACCACACACCTCAGACCACACATCACACGCACACACACACACACGCACACACACACACACGCACACACACGTACACACACGCACGCACACACACACACATACATACATACATACACACGCCTGCTCAGGGCAACAGAAGGAGACTCTTGGACAGTAAAGCGATCGGGGGCGAGGACTTCAGTGCGGGCTGGCTGCCGCGGCGTCGAGACGCTGCAAGGCAGCCGGCACCCCGGCCAGTCCCAAGGCTGGATCAACAAATGCCAGTCGCCTCGGCAAGTCGGCCGCTTGAGTAGGAGACAGGCGGGCAAGAGCCTTCTTGAGCTTCTTGTCCTCAGGCTCACCGATGAATACAGCCCGCCAGCCAGCGCCGAGAGCGCTGCACGTGGAAAAACGAACGGCAATTTGTCAATGACACCAGCGAAGCGGAGGGAGGGGCGGAAAAGAAGGCCCCCTGGCCTTCAAAAGTGCCAGAGCATGTGCAGCTAGGAGGTACCCGGCAACATCCTTGGTCGCATCGTCCCCAACATGTGTGCATTGGCCCGGGGTCAGGGGTTCGGTCATGGCCGGATCCCGACGCGCGAGGATGGCTTGGCCCTGGGCCAGTGCCGCACGGAAGATCTCCTCGGCCGGCTTGCTCAGGCCAGTCAGTCCGCTGGTCAGAACAAAGTCGAACTGGCTTTCAAGACCGCAGGACTTGAGGATATCCTCTATGGACAAGGCCAGGGCCGTAAGCAGAGCAACGGGTGGAAAAGAAAGCCGGTCAGCAACTTGGATGGCGCAATTGGGCACAGTGGCAAATCCGGTCCATCTTACCAAGACGTTCATCGAAATTCGACAGCACTCCCAAGCAAAGGGGACCCGGGCCGCCGGCCGCGCGAATCTCCGCCAGCGTGTCCTTCACCCCGGGAGACGTGGTTTCCCAGGCGTCTGCCGTGCGAAAGTGATCATACAGCTGGTGCGAGATGGCCTTCAGGGTCTCGTCAGGGGCCCCGGACTCAGGCAGGCCCTTCATCAGGCAGGCTGCCGCCACGTTGGACCACCAGGCTCGGTGGGCCTCCGGAGTAACTCCCCCGTAAGGCGGGGTCCCGGGCTCCGAGGCCCGGCGGAATTCTTTCACACACGAAGAGGGCCACATGAGAGGGGAGGAAGGTCAGCCATTTCCATCACACGAATGCGGGCGCCCGAAGACGCACAGCCCTGACACCAGATGAGTCTGGACGAACCTTCGAGGAAGGCGGCGGAGACGAGGTCCTGAGACACAGCTACGTTATGGAGGGCAGCGATCTTGCCCTGTGTTGGCAAAAGCCCGAGAAGGGGTTAGTCCAGGGGGGGGGGGGGGGGGGGGGGGGGAACAAAAGGACATTGGGGAATCCGAGAGGCGAACGGACATAATGAAAGCCGAGGCCGCCCTGGCTCACGCGCAGGACGGTGCCAGTGATGTCTAGGGTGACCAGACGGGGGAGCAATTGACTCATGTTGCCAGCATCGACATATGGTCTTGACCGAGCGGGGAAGGCACACGAGGGGCGGAGAGTCAAATGTTCATAAGGGGGAGAGAGGGAAGGAGAACATTGCCAGGGGCCTCGTTGGCTGTGGATGGCGGCAGACCCACTCAAATATGCATCCCTGGAGTGGCGGTGGCTGTGACAACGGCGGCAGCGGGGGGGCGGGGGGGGGGGGGGCGGATTGTGGAGGGAGAGAGAGAGAGAGAGGGCAAAAAACAAGGAGGGAGGCGGGGAGCTCCTCGGACCAGCCTCCAGCACTCGGGGGGAACAGGGAAGGGGGGCGGTTTTGGCGCCCTGCCGAATGGCAAGGGAGCTGATCGGCGCACATATGTGATATTCTGTATTTACAGAACGGGGCGAATGTGATCCGTATTTTGGGACACACACTCGCCAATCGCCCTGGGGAGGAAGAGCGCCCACATCCTGGAGAACTTGGCCAGACGCTGCCCAGATGTCGGCGCCACCACCGGGCCACATTGACCACAGCCCAGGCTCCGCATGTCGCTGACCAGGGGCTATTTCGGCTAGTGTTGGATCTATCTGCCACACATACCGGACAAGCAGAGAACCGAGAACAAGAAAGCCGGGGGGGAAAGCCTGTATTGTAGCTGAAAATATGGCCAGTCCGCACACGCCCGAAAGGGGCACATATGAGGGATGAAGTCTCCTGGGTCACAGGTGCTGCACCAGGGAGGGAGAGGGGGAATAGGAAGCCCCCTGCCTCATGTCTGAATACAGAGAGAGGGAGAGAGAGAGAGGGGGGGGGGGGGGGAGGGAAAACTGAACGTGTATATGCGGGGGTGTGGATGGGAGCTGGTGCGCTGAGACCCGGCTCCACCAATGTGGACGCCAAAACCTTTCAGGACACCTGGCCAGTGACCTTCTCGCGACGCTCGCGCATCAGGATATAGATGGGGATCTGCTGCATGTGGGCATTCAGCGAACAGATCCAGTCATGGCGAGCATCCTCCGAGTCGCATCCGAGGAGATAGTATGAGTGGTGCCCTTCGACCATCTTGCCATCGCCGGCGTGCTTGGCCGCCTTGATGGTCATGCTCATGGAACGCGTGCGCGACAACAAGCCCACCGAGAGGAGGGAGCTGGTCGAGGATGCCAGGGGAGAGGCAGTGGCTGAGGCCCCTGTGCTGGAGGCCACGATCGGGGCCTGGGTCGGCCCGGCCCCAGGCGTCTGAGGCACTGGCCCGGAGATGGGGATGGAGGCTACTGGAGCCACATCGGTCGGTGGTTCGATGCCACCGACTTGAGACAAGGACAGAGAAGAGGACGCCCCACTGGCGTCTAGGGATGACCCGGCCGAGGGGGATGCATTGAGGGGGCTTTCATCGCACCCAGGTCCTGCCGCCACCTCGGCCATGCAACCCGGACATTCCACCAAAGCGGCAGGCTGCTCGCCGCTGGGAGCGGTGCCCTGCTCGCTGGGAGCGGTGCCCTGCTCGCTGGGAGCGGTGCCCTGCTCGCTGGGAGAGGTGCCCTGCTCGCTGGCATCCGGTGGTGGGATCGGCCGCACGACCTGACAATCAGGAAGATGCTCAATCGGGGAGGCCACCCCCGAAGGAGATACCACCGGCGAGGGGGTCGGCGCCGCTGATGGCGAAGCCGGGCCCTGCTCAGACGGCGGCTGGACGCTCAACAGGGAATTATAGCGCCCGAGGGTGGAGGCATTGCTACGGGACGGAGACAGAAGGATCAGATCCGGTGAGGATTGCGGCCCGCTGCTGCTACCAAAGCCGAGGCTTGAGGAAAGGCTGGATGTGAATGAGGACAAGGACGAGGGGAAGGAGGAGGCCGAAGAGGGGCCACCGGAGGAGGGGGACGCCGGGGGGGCAGCATCCGGAGAAAGGGGACTCTCGCCGGGAAGAGGAGAGACCGCCCCGGACCGGGTCGAGGGCTGGGCCTGCTGCTTCGGCTGCTGAGCCAGCAGGTGAGCCGGCGGGTTGTCCGGATGGTACAGTTGAAACCGGAAGCGAGTCTTCTTGTCGCGTGACTGGCCAGCCTCACAAACGCGCAGATTCTCCAAGGGGATGATGCCGCACGGGCGAGGATCCCCCTGGCGCTTGAAATAGTACACGCAATTGCCGGTCAAGATGAAAAAGCGCTTCTTCCATGTCTTGACCCGGCCACCCTGCTTCCAGAGATACCCCTCGCGTTCGGGGTTGAAGAAGGTCAGGCGCTCTCTTGAGGCCGCGTCGTTGAGCTTGATTTCCTCTTTGAGAATGGTATCATAGAGGTTCTAAGGGGAGGAAGGAGAAGCAGCAGGAGGGGGGGGGGGGGGGGGCGAGTCGATTGAAAGGTAAGTCGCCAATGGTGAGGGGAGGGGGCGTGCAGAGATCCAAAGGGCCAGGATGGTGCGCGCACAGTCAGGAAGGACTCCGGCAAGTCGGCGCCGTTGTCGATGCCGCGGTTGTTGCGGATGAAGGCATCCTTGGTGATCTTGTTTCGGATGGCCGGGTTGTGAAGATCGGTGTTGAGCATGATGGTGGAGAAGGCCAAAATGTATGCAGTGTCTGGGGAGAAGAAAAGGGAGCGGGAGCGGGAGAGAGAGAGAGAGAGAGAGAGAGAGAGAGAGAAATGCAAATGGAAATAGGGAAGGAGACAGAGGGCGGGGAGGAGGTCAGTCATGAAGGCGTGAGAAATGAAGGGGAGGGAGGAAACGGCACGGGAGAGGGCGATGTGCTGGATGCGAACCTGAACGGGCAAAGACACCGGGGTTATTCTCGTGGAAGCGTGAGGCGAAGCGCTCCATCATTCGGTCAATTTTCTGAGCCTCGCCGGGGAGTCGGAAGGTGCTGAGGAATTGACTTTGAGGGGAGCCACATGACGGCGAATGGGGGGGGATGGGAGTGGAGGGGGTGTCACAATCGCGAGGTTAGGAAGGCATGGCGGTACCGCATGGGCAATTGCCAGTCGATGGCTGGCCACGGGGGCCTGGGCCTATCAGGTGCGCACCGAAGAGCGTTGTCAAAAGAGAGGGAGTGGAACTCTTGGAGGCCAGCAAAGAGGCTCAAAACCTCGACATTGAAGGCGTCCCTGCATGGTGCGCGAGGGGCAAGTGAGCGGATCCAGCAAGAAAGCACTTAGTGGGTGAGGGGAGGGGGGGGGGGGGGGACAAAACAAGGGAAGAGACGAGCAACGAAAAGGGGTCGCCTTGGAGGAGGAGAGGAAGACGCACCCGCCACCGAGGAATTCACCAATGGCCTCCTTGTTGAGGAAGTTGTTCTCCGGTCCAGCCAGGTACTGGGCAATGGACAGGGCCGAGCCATCGATCAGGCCGACATCCTTCAAATAATCGAACGCCTAGATCGAGAGACAGAGAATGATAAGTGAACAGGTGGAAGGGGAGGAGAAGACCGGCGACAAGACGGCAGCAAGAGGCCCGACGGGGGAGCAAAAAACGTGAGCGTACCGAAAGGGGATCGGCAGAAAACTTGCTCCGGGCAATCGCCCAGTGCCGACGGAGACGCTGCTCGGCCTCGGCGGCTTCAAAGTCCGGCGAATCAAGCAGGGAGATCGGCGAGGAGGGCGAGAGGAGCGAGATGCTGGTCCGGGTGCCCGCATGGCGACTGATCCCCCCATGGGCCAGGCCGGGTGACAGGGGATGCATGCCAGGGCTGCGGAGGGTGGGGGAGGCGGTAACCACGGGCGACGAGGACAGGGGGCTGGACAAACCACCAGCGCCGCCGCCGCCGCCGCCGCCAACAGGCAGAGATGTGGACATGATGCCCAGGGAGGAGGAGGCACGCTTGAGGGGAGCATCACCCTCACCAGAGGCGGGGGCGGGGGCTGAAGGCAAGTCCAGGGCCGTGGGAGATCGCGGAGCGGTGGGGCTTGCTTCGGCCGAGTCGGTGGTCGTGGCGACAGATGTGCGTGTCGATGCGCCTCGCGTCAAGCTGCCAAAACGCCCGGCCGAGCGGCGCAGGGAGAAGCCGGAAAGAATGCCGGAAGATGCCCGAGCACGAGCACCGCCGGCGCCACCGGGGGAGGAAGCCTCCATTGGGGGATGTGGAGAACGCGAGTCGGGGCTGGGCCCGGCTTCGACGCCAGCATCACCAGCGACATCGCCGGTGGCGGTGGCAGTGACAGAGACACTGGCCGCGGGGGTGGACGTGATGGCCGTGGTGGCTTCGGCATCACCAGAGACCATGCCATCCAGCGAGGGGAAAAGATCATCCATCAAACCCCCGGAGTCGCCGGGAAGGGGGCCTACACAATCATCCCCCGAGGCCAGAGGCACAAGGATATCCTCGGCCGAGGTGTCGGAGAAGAGGCTGTGATCATCGGACAGGTGTCGGCGAAGGCGGAAGGGCGAGTCGCTCGGCGACCGGGGGATGGAGATCGGACAGGAAGTGACGGGCATGGCGGGGGCCCCAACGACCTGGGTGTCATCGGAGAGGTAGGTAACCGGTGACAAGGGCGGCAGGTCGGGCGAGCTGTGATCGGAGGAATCACCATCCGGCAGGGGAATCGACACAGCACTAGGGGTGGTGGGGATGGAGGGGGCCATCTGCCCGGAGCTGGTGCTGGAAACCGGGTCCGACTCGTCGTCACTCAGGACCTCGTGGCAGTTGGCGCCGTCCTCATCGCTGTCGCTGTCCGTGAGTTCCAAGTTGCCGGGTCCCGGGTGGAAGAAGCTCTGCGGGGGAGATGACCCTGGGGCAGACCCGGTGGTGGTGGTGGTGGTGGTGGTGGTGGCCGTCGTCGAGGTGATCGTGGAGCTGGTCAGGTCGGGCATGGAGCTGCAAGGAGTGCTGTCCGGGAGCGGGAGGCCAGCGGGGTCCGCGATCGCGACAGAAGCTGCGGTGATGGCGGTAGTGCTGCTGCTGCTGCTGGTGTTGCTGCTGTTGGGGAAACTGGCCTCGGCACCTTCGGGTGGTGGGGCTGCGGGCGGCTGGTGGTGCGCTGCACCAGCCTCAGGCGACATGGGGCGAAAGGAGGGGAGGAGTCGGGGGACGGGGCGCCAGAAGGGGGGGGGAGGGGCGAGAGGAAGAGGGGGGCGGGAGGAGGAGGAGGGGGGAGGGGAGAGGATGGTAGGTGACTGTGAGCAAGACAAGCGACCAAGTGACTGGGAACCGAAAAAGATTGCTTGGCTGAATCCCGCGGCCATGTCGAGGCTCCCAGGGTCGGGCATGCCGGCGAACAGCTGGACCGCAGGACCCGGGCGGAGGTCAAGCCTGGGAACTCGCATTTTCGCCGATGGCCTGGCCTGGTGCGTGGACTCAGACGAGTGCGCGCGCGCGCGCGCGCGCACGGCCCTCGACCCCCTGCCCCTGCCGTATTCCTCGGCCCGCAGGGGGGGGGTAAAAGGGGAGATCTGCGGTGGGCAGGGGAGGGCGGGGGGGGGGGGGGG